ACTACACAATTGTTTGATTGGAAAAAAAATGTCTAAATACTAAAGAGCTAGATACTCACTTGGGATGGAAGCTAGGACTTTGGTGATGTGTGGCTGAAATGCTATTGAGGCATATTGGTGATTGATAAACCAAATGGATTGCAAAAAACATGGCTTTGAAGGACTGAAGTTGACAGAAGCTGAAAGCAAAGCCTGAATGTTTATCACTATTAATTGGTACTATTTACCAGGAGGAAAACGCCGGGGATGAAGTTTAATTCCTTTAAAGAGAATGTTCAAAGAAGGAGTCTTAAATTAGAATTGTTTGATTAAAACGATTATTTTATCATTAAAAATCCTTCAAATGTTAAATGAATACTTCAAGATGAAACTATACCCTCAGACTAAATTTTTATATTAAAAGAATTATATAATTCTTTGATATACTTTCGTAAAATAATCATTTTAATATTGATTTTCTCCACCACCGCGGGCAGATGATCAGAACTGCAAGTTCTTTACAACTGTCTACTCTTAGCAAGTCAGAGATGCTCTGGAATGAGGTTTTATCTAGGGAAAACAGTACAAAGTCACAAATATTCTGAATTCATCATGTATTTATTTATTTTGGCATGAATTTTGTATCCTTTACTGATGCCTTGGAACTGAACACTTCTCTAGTTGTTTCCTTACAGTAATGATTGTTTAAGGTCATTTGAGTGTTTTGTTGTATATCATTTTATACAGTTAAATAATGAACTACACATAAGATTGTGAGAGACCTGATCACGTAGCACATTTCATGATGATTGAAGATAATGCTGTGAAAAAATATCCAATTTGAGTTACCCCCCTACAACGAGGACACAATCACTACGTAAAGTGCATTTCCAACCTCAGAAAAACACAGGCACCTTAAATGCTCCAAAGTGACATTTTCACATCACCCAAGAGTGATCCTTGTGATGGCTTTGAGTAAAATTCTCAATTTTCTGATGATTAGTCATTGGTAACTAGTTTGAGATTTTCCCCACATTCAATTTAATTATGGCATTTATAGTTGTCAGAGAGAAGACCCTCACTTTATCAACTTAGTCTGGATTCAAAATGATAACTTAGCCTTAATCTGCCAGTATTCAGTTTCTTTACACTTTCAAACGCTCATTTTTGCACAAGTTATTTCCTATTGTGAGCATTGTATACTTATATTTGCATTGAAAACACATTTGGAGTGATCTTCCACATTGAAGAACTTATTGCAACATACTATCTGAACATCTATCTGAATTAATACTCAACATTTTTTTTGGAGGACTCTTGCCAAATAGTTGTATTTCTAAGGGTATTAATTTAGCTTCTTGGCATCGTTAGGAGCATCAATTCCACCGCTAAAATAAAAACAATTGCATTTTTGTAACTACGCATTGTCACTTAATTCTTATCCAGTCTAGCATTAGAGCTTTCAAACCAATGAACTAACATTTGCTCTGCATCATGTCAATTTATTTACTCTTAACTTTGTTTCAACACCCCTAATACAACCTCTCAAGTTCCAATTTGTGTTATCTTATTTGTAGCCTGTCGGTATCAATCACTACATGTGTTAAACAAACACTAATTACAGCTAACCTAAATCTAATAGCTCAACATTCTGCCAATTAAGATGCAAACCTCTTTAGAAATGGTGCTACACTAATAGGAGTTATAAGCAGGGCTAAAGGAATCTTGGGGTAAGGGATACATAGAATGTGTGGTTGATTGGCTGCTGCTCTTCAGCTCCCCTCTCGACTCTCTTCCCCCTCCTCGCTCCCTCCCTTCCCTCCCCTTACTCTGACCATTTCCCCCCTCCTCGCTCCCTCCCTTCCCTCGCCTTACCCTGACCATTTCCCCCCTCCTCGCTCCCTCCCTTCCCTCCCCTTACCCTGACCATTTCCCCCCTCCTCGCTCCCTCCCTTCCCTCCCCTCACCCTGACCATTTCCCCCCTGCTCGGGTCATGACCCAACTGTGCAGCGCCTTGGGACGTCCTCCTGACGTGAAAGGCGCTTTATAAATGGAATCTTGTTGTTGTTGTTGTTGCTCTTTTCACCCACAAAATACATAGTCAATTCACTTTCCAGTATATTGTGTGATGTGCTTTGAGATGTATCGATGACAAGATAAGGCGCTAAATCAAATGCAAGGATTATTATTAATAATTGGTGATTTGCCTTGCCAGCCAGTACACTTGGTATTCCCTTAAATTGCGCAATGGCAGGGATTTGTGCAGGAGTGCATCAATGCGCTGTGCCAGAAGGTGTGACCAGATCATGCTGTGAATTTATATTATACAAGCAATTTTGGATACCTGTAGTTTTCAGAAAGAAGCATTGAGCAGAGGCTAACAGCTAGGATCTATCTATCTTACTCTGATGACTAAAAATAGGGATCTTTTCATTGCGTTTTCATAATGGAATTTTATAATTGAATTTCTCATTATAAAGTTAGTGAAAAGCTTGCTATTGTTCCAATGGTGGATAACAAGGTAAAGGCCATGATAAAGAACTATCAACAAAGACTGGAATATTGCGACTGAATAAGTATTGCCTTGGTACATAATGTCCCATAATGATATGAATAGTCAGCTAAAGAGCACAGGCACAAAAGCAGTCAGCATGGATTCAGAAACGAAAGTTCTTCATGAACCTCTGCAGTTCTTTGAGAAAGGAAGTCGATAATGATAATCCTTGTATTTGATAGAGTGCCTTTCATGTTGGGAGGATGTCTCAAAGTGCTTCACAGGATTTACTGTGAAGTGTAGAAACTGTGGATGTTGTACATGATGCCAGGATAAGGTCAGTTGAATGATATAAAAAAAACACATTCTATCAATTCTGGAGCAATTAATTAGATGGATCAAAGCGCTTTGTAAATAAATGTAAGGCAATGAATATTGGAACAAGAAATAGTAAAATCCTACACATAAAGGGAAATCAGTTAGCATTGGTGAAAAAGGACAAGGATCTGAGTGTGATTGTTGATCATTCACTGAAGGTATTCCAGTCAATGTGAAATTGCCATCAACAAAGCTGGTCAAAACTGGAGTGCTTCTTGAGGCTATTTTCCGATCAATTAATCGCCATTATTCTAAATCTATGGATCACTTCTGAATAAATCTGGAATCAATTCTAAATTTGGAATCTTGTATTTCATTCACCAATTGCAGTGATGTTTTCCAATGTGCACAGTAAAATATCTGGGATAGATGTGGGTAGGGTGGTGGTGGTCGATGCTATCCCAGATATTTTACTGTGCACATTGGAAAACATCACCACTGAGAATATTTGGCATTTAATATGGGTCTGACCTGACAGTTCAGTCACTATTTGTTTATCTGCCATGGTTCTTCCTCTAAGTCCCCTTGAATTAAATCTGAAATCTTCAGAGTACAAGAGAATATAAAAAGGGAGAAACATTATAACCAAACTATTAACAACCTGGCTACAGTACAGTTTGTCATTTATTCATTCTATGTATGAAGCTTTGACTGGAAATTAAATTGAACTTAAGGACAAATATAGTGTTACGGAGAGAGTGAGACACTCAGCCCTAATCATGACACCCTAATTATATTTGATGTTTGACCCCTTTTCCTAGGGTCATTATAACATTCCACCAAGCCGTCACAAACAGACTAGATCAATTTCATATTGAGCCCCAACCTTGAACTGAATGTAGTTTGCCCAACAGACAGTAGTTTGCTGCAGGATCCCACCTCAGTTACTTATGTTCAGTTATTCTTCCATGAAATGGGAAGAGAAGCTTGTGGAGGATATGTCCCGTCTCGTAGCAAAATTAGAAACTTGCAAAACTGGGCACGCAACAAGTTATTCTACTTAAAAGCGCTTTCTGTTCAAAGTGAGGGTAAGTTTACAAGTGAATGTTGTAAAATAAAGCACTGTCTTGAAATGTGCTTCATTCATATAAAGATGCAGGTGATAAGCATGTCTGCACAGTGCTGACGGATATCTGTGAGCTGTGTGAACAAGTTCAAGTGGCTCCTCTTGACAACCAGTGGTGTTCTCGCGGAGCACCTCAGCTGTTGAGCACTGCTGACACTTATTACTTCTGTCTATTCAGAAGCTATCTTTGTTTATTTTCCAATACAACTCCATCTTAATTCTATCATGTGACTAAATTGAGAATGAAAACAGATGCTGGACAGCTTCACATACTGTAGTTCCTGTGCTGAAATGATTTGCGTATTGCTGTGCTTTTGTGGAAAATAAGTTACTCTGAATAGAGCATACAATACTGTAACAGTTGTTAACATCATACAGTATAAAATGCTTAAAAATTCCACTTGGTCTTACACTGTCATATTTTATCTTCAAACTTAAGCCTTGAGCAGAAGTCTGAAAAATCCTTAAATTCCATTTTACATTGGAAGTCAATAATTTTCAAGGACTGCAGAAGGACTTTTCCATGATTCTGAATAGTTTAAACTTTAAGACAAATGGTTTTATAACCAAGACCAGGTGGAATTTTAGTCCTAAGTTGCTGAGCAATAATGTCAGGGTTTTTCTGATGTTATAACAGCAAATGAATAACCAGTGTTATTCTTTTGCTGGGTTTGTATGTTGGGTTGGCTGAAAATGGCACTTCTGCCACCAAATCCTTCTGGTCCTTTTGAATATCTCCAATGCCACACAATAACAATAATAATTCTTGCATTTGATACAGCAAATTACAGATCTTGTATATTATTATCTGCTTTTAATAAGTGAATTCTTGTTCATTGTTCAATTCAGTTCTGCACTATCGAGGGTTTAGATATTGGTGGTATTAACCATGGTAATCAACCCCTTTGTAATCAATGACCCATTGTTGAAGGTTCCTTGGGCTTTCAAACCCATTGAGAGCAGATGAAGCAATGTAGCACAAAGGGATCGTGTTTGGAATAAGGATAACAGCAATAAGGATAACAATAATTTACATGTTAACTCTTGATTGTGGTAAAGTAAAAGCCTTTTCTGAAGTCGCTGTGCTGATTAAAGGTCTGTTTTTCCAAATTGTCTGGTTATGTAACTAATCAGAATACATGCTGAAGGATGCAATTTTGGAGAGGCTCCTTTTTGAGGAATTTTAATATCATTACAGAATACTTTATGAATGTCTTAACTTGAGTCCTATAATTAAATTACCTTGAAGTCTTTTCTATTAATCAGATTTTATATGTGTTCTGTTTCCACAGCTGAGGAAGGAAGGACCAAGGCAATTAAAATGAATTTCTGAACTGTGACTTCGAGTGGGCACGATTTAGGATTTTCTCTCTCATGAAAAACACGATGTTCACCGAGAAAAACAGCACTACCGTCCCTCAGAAACCTGCTCCAAAGAAGACGAGACCTCAAGGGCTTCCATCTCCAGCCCTGTGCTGTGCCTGTGGGCTGTGCATCATGTTAGCAGGGATCAACATCACTCTTGTGGGAGCCTTTGCCTTTGGTACCTTCTTGCCCATGAACAATCCCCCCATCATCATTGGGCCCATTCTGCTGATTGTTGCTTTTACCTTCTTTGCGGCCTGTTGCATTGCAGTCGGAGACCTCCAGCCCACAGCCAGAGGAAGTCCAAACCCGGTTCTAATATTGGTATCAACAAGCCTGGCCACGCCACGTTCGAGATTGAGACCAGCGAGCACACAGTTCAAGACACAACTGCAGTTCAGCTCAGCCCCACAAACTCACCAGTGTCTTCTAAGAAATCTACTCCAGCCCATGAAAACTCGAAGACATGTAAACTATTTACAATGGATGGTACCAACCCCGCAGCCAAGTACACTCCAGCCGCTGAGTCCATAGAACTGAACCTACCACAAGATATGAGCTCACTTTCGTAGGGTTTTCCTGAATGAGCTGATCTCAGAGTGTAAACTGCCTTCAATATGGATTCTTAAACCATACCAGCAAAAACCTGCATCGAGGTTCGAACAACTACACTCCAGATAGTATCAGCCTTCTTGTCTGAATTGTTGTCAATCTAATTTTCACGTTTCATTTTATTTGTTTAAATGTTAATATTTGAATGATTGCTCTTGCATTCGGGCAAGTCAGTGAACCAAGTCAGTGAGTGCTTTATTTTAACAGAATGGTGAACATTTTAATGATAATATACAGAAGGAAAGCAACACCTGTCTATAATTTTGATTCCGCTCCCCCCACCTCACATTCCCCAAGCATGTAACTGTGCTGTGAGACAACACAGAAATAGCTTTATGAAAGAATTAAATCAGATTGGTCAAACAGCATTGCAATCTGCAGGAATAAAAATGAGAAATACAATGAGAAACCTGCTTTATTTATCTCTCCTAATTATTGGGGTAAATAAAAGCAATTGAACCTTGTTTGTTGTACTACTCTGACGGAAAGGAAACTGTCCATTTATTTGATTGTCGACATTGATGGTGTACTTTAAGCAGTATTAAACTGAATAATTCAAAGGAGTAGAAAGAAAAGTATAGTATTAAAAGTCAGACAGGGTGAATCATCCTTTCACATGCCGACATGGGTGATATTTATGGAGGTATTATTTATGTAGTTAGCTACTTCTGTAGGCAATCGCTCCATTCTCTCATTGTACATATTATTCATTGTATTCCCAACCTGGAACAAAAATTCAATAAATGCTTTTCTTGTATCTATAAAGCACAGGTATGCAGAGATTCATTGTGTAAGATGGCTAGTGAACTCAGTGAAACCCAGTTCTAATGGTAGTACAGTGATAACGCCGTGCTATTGTGTAAAACACTTCCAGTTACATGCTTCCACTACTGTTTAACTATGGAAGTGCGTAAGCCAAAATGCAATATATACATTAATACGCGGAGTGTCATTTTATGCAATACAGTAGTTTGCATAGCATGTCAACCTATGATTTCCAGCGATGGAAATGTGAAGAGTTAACACTACCTTTAGTGTACCCTGGGACTTTGAGGGGGCGATAACATTTACTACAGCCATTCACACACTTCTACTGCCTATTGCTGCGAGTGGGAGTGCGGAGTCCGTGCGTAACATAATTGCCAATTATTTCAACTGTGTAATACTAGGAGTGTGAGGGGAAGACATTGTGTAACAATATTATTTTATTTGCTATTCTTATGTTCTACTTAAGAAAACTACTTAATATATGATATTTATTGTGCCTATTTTTATTAACTTTGGAAACTGATTCAAAATTCTAAACTATTGCTATGATTATAATTTTGTATACTTCTATATCATAGTTGTCGACAAATCCCAATCATTGTGACTCAAACAACAACAACTTGGCTTTATGTAGCGCCCCTTTCAATTCTGTAGAATTAAAATATGCACTTTAAACATAGATTTAATTTAAGATAAACATGTTAAACTCTTTCATGTCGCCACTCTTTTCTGTCTGTCAATTCTTACCTTAGAACTTTGATTTTGTTTGTTTTGTCCAACCTATGTTGTTTCACTCTTTTCCCCTGAAAATTAAATTACTAATAATAATGTTTCGCTTACCATTTCTCCTCTCCAGCCCCATGCATTTTAAAGACCGTATATTTAGAAACAAATTAGTTTTTGTTGGCTGCAAACTTGCTACGAAGACTATTTTCCATCCAATTCAAAGTCCAGACTTGGAAAATATCATGCATAATAAATAGGAATAAGAATATTTCTTCCTGCGGCTCAACATTGCCCAGAGGAGCAAACTCATCCATGGCATTGAGAAGGATAATATCCTGACCGTGTTGTCAAAGCACTGTGGGTGACTTTGGATCTGATATAATTTCCCCTATGCCCAGGAGAAGATATGCATTACTTTCTAACCTTCAGTGTGTTGATTAAACGGTAACACGTAAAACAAAATAAAAGATGTAAGACAAAGTTAGCATTTACAATGAAAGCGACATAAATATAGATGCTCTTTGACTTTGCGATTTTGGAATTCTGCCATCTGTGTAAGGCACCAGGATTGTATGGGTAATAAAGGAGGGAGTGAGGACATAACCCTTCCCGTTTCAGTTCCCAAGTGTGACTGAGCAATTAATTTGCTTTAAGTGTACGTTATTCAGATCTGACTGACCCTAGTCTTGGGAGTATGGGACAGAGGCTTCAATTCCCCAAAGCATATCCATTCCTAGCTTGACACGTTCAACATGAATATTTAATTTTGCACTCCCACTGCATTAAACACAGGGGAAATTTGCCAATTTTTAATGAAGCGCAATAAGATAGAGTCAAAATGATATATAACCATTCATTACCTCTACAAAAACAAGGGCTACACAGTGCCAATTGGCTTTGCACTTTAACTGGAAACAATATTGAAGAACTGTTTAGCGGCAAATTGCGAGGAAATTGTTGCAAGATTATTATGCTCAAGGACCTCTGTCAGTAGTCTATCCGATCTTATCTCGCTCTGCAGGGCACATCATTATGACCAGACCACAGTGAATGAACACAGCAATTAGTTGACACTTGTGTACTTCATCACATAAACGTGCACCTTTGTACAAGAGCTAAGGTTTATGTAATTTTGTTGGACCAGAATTATAAATATACATTCGACATGAAGCTTGCCCATATAATATTGTGTGTTCTGTGTGTTCAGTTCCGTGTTAGCCTGGCTCAGTTCCGTGTTAGCCTGGCTCAGTTCCGTGTTAGCCTGGCTCAGTTCCGTGTTAGCCTGGCTCAGTTCCGTGTTAGCCTGGCTCAGTTCCGTGTTAGCCTGGCTCAGTTCTGTGTTAGCCTGGCTCAGTTCTGTGTTAGCCTGGCTCAGTTCTGTGACAACCTTGCGAGCCTATAATGTCGTGGGCAATACAGTGCTCGGAGAGAGCTGCCTAGATGGAGGTGCATTCATTCAGATGAAACATTGAACTGAGATCATATTTACCTGTTGAGGTGAATGTTAAAAATCTCAGCAGAATTCGGAAAAGAGAAGCACGTTTCTCCCAGTGTCCTTGCCACATAGTGTCCCAAATAAAACTGATCATTCACTTCAAGGCTGTTTGTGGGATGCTGATGCGTGCAAATGAGCTGTTGCATTTGCCTACAAAATGCACACTCATTGCCCTTCACAGTAAATCTTGTGAAGTACTTTGAGATGTCCTCCTGATATGTAAGACTCTATATCAAATGCAAGGTTTTTTTTAAGTAGGAAAGGAAAGATCTATTTGGCTTCAAAAAGATTTAAGGCAAACCAAGACTCTTATATATCATATGATAGAAAAAAAATGCTATATAACTGAAATAATAAGCTTGAAATATCAAATGTTCTTTCTTTGGATTCTTTAAATCTTATTATTGACTTGTGAATGCTGATGAGATTGTCAGGTTAATGTGGAAGAAAGCTGAATTAACATAAAGACAAAAATGAAACACTGAAGCAAAACTAGGTTAATGAGATTACTTGCACTAATTAATTAAACATGTCAACACTTGATACAAAGACAAGATGGTTGATGACAGGCAAACTTGTTGGCCCCAACAACTGTATAAATTGGGGCATAACCTGGAATATGATAATAGGCATCTCAATGCCAACATTAGATAGCATAAAAATAATAACAATAATAATAATCATTGCATTTGATGTAGAGGCTTATCACGTCATTGAGACATTTAAAAGCACTTCACTGAATATATTGTAAAGTGGATTGATTATATTTTGTGGGTGAAACAGAAATGATACAGTATTCATACATAACATGAACTAGAGAAAGTGACTAACGTGAAACTGCAGCCATGGAATCAGGGCAAACGGATTGAGACTTCCCAAACTCATTTTATTTAACATGGAAACTATTGCATCGGCAATGTACATGTTCTGGAAGGAGCTTCTCACCTGGATCCAATCGTGTTCTCAGACGGCAACCTCAGACACACAAACTTCTTCAATCAAGGTTTGTTCTGGCTTATTCTCCCCTTCCTAGTCCAGGAACTCTGTGTACAATTCTAATTCCCTACCACTGCCATGGCTGAGATCAGCAAACCAGCATAGACTGGGTTTCATACCATATATTCAGTGAGACTGAGTCTAGAAAACTGAAATTGGAAGCCCAATTAGATTACATTGGGTTGTATATTGGAGTAAAGGTGTCAATTCAAAACAAGTTAGTTGAATATTGACAGGACGATTCCTTAGTTGTTGTTTGTAAGTGTAATGATGGATATTATTGTTCACAAAATGTGTGATAATGACATCTAGTGGCAACGTTTAGACTGCTTCTTCTAATGGGAGGTCAATTCCAACATTGTAAGGAAAACAGCATGTGTTTTTCAGTGGACCAGTGGATCCTCTTGTTTTTCACCCCTGGCTTGGACTGTGTGGCTCAGGCACCATGTACTGTTAACCGTACACACTGTTAACTATATACAATGTACCCCAAAGCAAAATCAGCCAAAATCTGGTCCAATTCGAAGTGACATGGAGCAAGCAGTATAAATCCAGCTTCTACTGCCCAGTACAACATAGAAAAGTGCCAGGCAGACACTTTTAAAGAATACCCTGATCTGTAATCTGGCAATATCTCGCTCACATCGCTTTCAAAGTAGTTTCAGTTTGAAAGTGTCTGTTAATGAACACTCAAATTACTTTCCTTCGCTTCTCTCCTGCACAGAATGTGTGCTCTCTCAAACAAAACAGGATAAGATCATTTGGGCTCAAAACTGGTTGACAAGCTTTTATTCAGCTCGGCATGTCATGTTCTAAACAGCTAATTTGTCAGCTGTACAGAAGGCATCTGATTATCCTCAAAATGAAAATCAGCCATTTCGAATAGCTATTAGGCAGTTTAACATGCCCTTTATATTGAGCAGCGATACTTCATGGTGAGCCTCTTAATAATCTCTGGTATGAAAACAGCTCTTTATTATATTGTCAACTCACAAGCCCCATCGTCAAAGATAACAGCGAAACCTTCCCGTAAGATGTTGTTACTCAGATATCAAAATGTAATTCAGGCTCTTAAGCAGTCACTCACAGTCTGTTCAACATTGGTTTAACATCAATCTTTATATCAGCTTTTAGTGTCTGCTCTTTTATATTCAATTTCTTATTGTCTCAGTAACAGATAATTTT